GCTCACTAGTTCGGGATGCTGCCCCTGCGACCCGGACCCGGATAAGCGGAGGAAGACGACGACAACGACAACGTTTTTATTACGTTTTCCAAATTTTTACACACAAACAAAAACAAAATACCAAAATCCCCCCCCCCCCCCCCCCCCCCCCCACAGCACAGGCTAGCTCAAAACCACATCATAATAATTTCAAAACATGCTGTCCAAAAACTTTTATATCTTTTTACCAATAAAAAACAAAATTTCATTCCAGGTATCAACATATGAGTCTTTTTCCCCTTCATTTTAGCAATTAATAATTCACAAGATGCAATCTCCGTCATCGTTATTATCCAGTCTCTGTAAACAGGTGCCTCAAAACTTTTCCATTTATGCAGTATGACAGCTGCTGAAATAAAACCTGTAAGAGCCAGGACCCCTGCCGTTGTAGATATATTTGGTACACACATGTCTCCTAATAAACAAAGTTGAGCAGTTTCCGGGAGCGGTATATCCAACCACTCTTGCATTGTATACAATATTTTTTCCAAAAAGGTTGAACAACATGGCATGACCACATAGAATGAATAAAAGTACCTTCCTGCCTTTTACATTTCCAGCATAAATTATTCTTAATTAAACCCATTTTATAAAGACGAACTGGTGTAAAATAATATCTATGGATTATCTTATAATGTGTCAGCTTTCCTCGTGTTTCCCTGGAAAACCATCCCATATTGGACATTATCGTTTGCCATGTATATGTATATACGTATGTATGTATATACATATATGTATATATACATGTATATACATATATGTATATATATGTACATGTATATACATATATGTATATTTATACATGTATATACATATATGTATATATACATGTATATACATATATGTATATATATATGTATATACATATATGTATATATATATATACACATGCATATGTATATATTCAAACGTAATGGTTATTTCCCTTTTCATTTTTATTCTGTTAATAAAACAGTTAACTGATCCATCTTTGAATAAAGAATCCTTCATATTATTTTAAGCTTCAAAAGACTCATCAAGGCATCCAAATAAAATAAAGGGAGAGCGACTGATGTAACGGATCACCTTCTGGCCTGTTCAGTAGATGTGGTCTGGACAATTTGTGTCATCACTCTTGTGCTCCACATTCACCAAAAAGCAGATTATGGCACCAGATTATTCTTCAACTTGCTTTTATTGGCAGCAATCTGGTCCAACAGAACACACAATTTCCATCAATGTGTGTTATCCAGCCTCACACAGGGGTGTCCACCAACTTACGTGTTACTGTGCTGCGTGATTGTTTAGTGGTTATTATTATTACTATTCAAGTTTTTTTTCCCACATTTTACATAAAAAACAGATTATAGTGGATAACCAAAAGTTGCTAACAACACTTGTAACAAATACATTTTTCTTCTATACATGAGCCTACCTGGTATAACAAAACACACAATTTCCATCACTAGCCACGTTTAAATGGGCACAAGTAATTGGATTGAACACCTAGTCAGATCAAAAATTCTGCACATTACACTTTTCATTTCGTTTCATGGCATTTGTTTACCATTTTTTCCGGGAAAGACAACTCTCTGCGCATGCTCAAACTATTTATTCGGATTTAATGCTTGGTGCACAAAATAGTGTCCATGTAAATATATATACATATGTGTATATATGTATACACACACATATATATATATATATATATATATATGTGTATATATGTATACACACACATATATATATATATATATATGTATATATATATATATATATATATATATATATGTATGTATATATATATATATATGTATGTGTGTGTGTGTGTGTATATATATATATATATATATATATATATATATATATATATATATATATATATATATATATATATATATATATATATATATATACTCACACACATATACCGTAAATCCTCTAATACAGGCCCGGGCCTGTATTTTACCCAAGCTCATCAAGCTCCAGGCCTTTATAGAGCTCCGGACCCCACGTGACTCTCAGTTAGTAGACGCCATATTGGCAGGTAAAAGAAGCTAAACAAACACGGATCGTAAACATGAACATGAACGGGATTAGCTTGGATTTTACTTCAACGGAGTTTACTTCACACTTTGAAACCGAAGAAATCGTTTTATATAGTCAGAAATTAAATAGACTAAACATCTCCGACCTTTACCGTGCCCCTGGGATACTTTTTAAAAACGCCAGAAGCTGTCGGAGTGGACTTCTTACCGGACCTGGCCAGGGAACCCCTTGGGATTCCCCCGGAGGAGCTGGCTCAGGCGGCTGGGGAGAGGGAAGTCTGGGACTCTCGATGCTACTGCCCCCGCAACCCGACTCCGGATAAGCGGATGAAAATGGATGGACAAATAACAAATTTACACATAAGTAGTTTAAATAGATTGCTGTGCTGTTTGAATGTATAAACTGAACACCAAGAGAAATCACTAGTTTGATTTTTTTTTTGTGAATAAAATAAATATGTCAGGCCGGAGTGTCTCAGGATCTGTCTGAGATCTGACTCGGTGAGACAGATAATAGCAATCCAAAGTGCTTTTTAAGTGTGATCTGACAATTGATCAACCATTGCTTATAAATTAAATACAGCTTAGCCGGTTAATTGCTGTGATCATAAAACACGTAAACGGCAGCACGCAGAACTCACGAGGCAACGTTTTACGTGATGTTTACTTGTTGCTGTGAGTAATAAGACAGAAAAAGCCACGCCAAAATAAGTTTAGGAAGCCCACTAAGAATCGTAATAAAAGCATTTAAAATAAATACCATACACAGTTGAGGAAACGTTGGTTTAAGTACCTGATATGAAGCGGTCGCTGCATAAGTGAAAACCTTTACTCTCGGGATCCCACAGCTTCATTTCAGCTCGGTCACTAGTGCGTTTTATTACAATGATCCAACGTTTGCAGCGCTCCGGATCTTGGGGAATCCTGTAGATGGCTCATTCCTTATGTCGTCCCCGTCTGTTCTGCATCCTGGGGCTCAACAGGAATCTACCATATTTCCTGTCTGATTGCATTTTCTGACAATAACAAATAGTCCAGCTGCCGGCTTCTGCCTGCCAATATGGCGCCGTTTCGATTTGAACTGTTGCATGCCGGGAGAAGTGACGTCAACTCCCGGAGCTCTATTGGAAGGAGGGCCAGAATTAGAGGCAGGCCTCAATTTCTATTTGAGCAAAATTGAGGTGGTGACTTCTGATTTGATAATGTTACTGTGGCCGTGCTCAGGACGCAGATGTCTGGAGCGCGTCAACAATCAGAGCTTTGCATGCGCAAGCTGGTTAAGGTTAGGATGGGGGCGAGGGGAAGGTTAAATTGCAAGAGGGTAAAGGTCACAATTTGGTTAAATGTCCGTTTTACGGCGGGTGTCAGTACCGACGCTCTGGCACAGCGCGTTGCCTCCCGACGCGCAGGAGCTTGTCACCTGCTGACAGCAGGCTGCTGTCTTTTCCGTGAACTGCATCTTGCCGGTCATTATCACGTGACAGCGACTAGTCGATGACAGGCATAAAAAGTCACTATAGAGCGGTGAAGTCGACTAGTGACTAGTTTATACAACCCCTGCTACTGCTACCCAGAGTGTTCTGCAGCATAATCAGCACGTTCTCTTTGAACTTGATATCAAATGTTCGCCTCCTCTTCGTCTCCGCATGGTTAAAGTTACCCTCGCGGTCTATCACTGGCAAATCAAAAGTGAGAGGATGACACAACCGCCCCCGTACTTGCTTGTTACCACATTCCACCCGGCCACAATAAAAAACGGCCATTATTCACCTCCGCCGACTCCGACACCGGCCAAAATGTGATACCCGGCCGTTAATTGAATACAGGCTAATAGAGGATTTACGGCATATATATGTATATATATATATATATATATATATATATATATATATATATATATATATATATATATATATATATATATATATGTATATATATATATATATATATATATATATATACATATATGTACACATATACCTATATATACATGTATATATGTTGTATATATATATGTATGTGTATGTATATATATATATGTATGTATATATATGTATGCATATGTACATATATATATATATATACATATACATATGCAGACATATGTATATATATATATATATATATATATGTATGCATATGTATATGTATATATATATATATATATATATATATATGTATGTATGTATATATATATATATATATATATATATATATATATATATATATATATATATATACTTTCAATTATACTTCTCTGACTGTGTCAATTAATTTTAACATCAACATAGTTTTGAGCCACATCCTATTCAAATACCATATTACTCCAAAAAGTAAGACTAATCAAATATTTGCCATACTTCTGAAAAACGTAAATTCGCAAATTCCTATAACCGCCGCTTCCGTTCCTTAACTAGATTACCGCCCTCCTCCTTAACGACAATCAATCAGTCAATGGTCCATCCCTTTGCGGTCTGTCCGTCTTTGTCCGACGGCATACAAGCTCCATTGTCTTTCGGGGATCCTCAAAACTTGTCTTTTCTCCTTTCCACGTGGAACAAATAAATGCATGTACTTTATTTTATGTCTTTTCAAGACATTTTGGAAACTCAACTTCAGGATTTCCTTCAACAACCCGGAAGGAAGGCACATCTTAAGTTTAAACCAGAGGATATCTGAACACTATCTAGTACTTTACCTCAAAGCAAGAATACGGATACTTTCAAACATTTGATAAGAAACAAACAGATTGAAGTGAGTCCAGGTTGTGCCCTTCATCCGCCTGACCCACCTCAGGGCTAGGCGGTGAGGTTTTCTCTCCTCCTATGTAGAAAAAAGGACATGAACCCACTTAACCAGAAACTACATTTTCTGACACCAGCAGATTCCAGCCGTCAACAGATGACGTAACAGACGTAGACGAACAACAAAGGGTGGATTTTCATATTTAATAACAGACAAAATGTTCTGTCATTCTTTTATGTACATCAGTAATTACAAGATCAGTCATGACTTCTCTCAAGTTTTACAAGTAGGTTTCCAGTAGTGCTCGTTGGCCTGACACGGTGGCGTTACATACAAAACCTGCTATTTACTGTAGTCACATTTTAAAAGCCTTAGGGAGTCGCCACAAACCCTTTTAAAACCAGTCGCTCACAATACTTCCTCGATATTTACAAAAAAACAGCAACTGCTAAATTATACATATTAACAAACTACTTCCTGAACACATACATACATATCTGTATCTGTATATAGATATATATGTATATATAATGCCGCTGTACAAAGAGATGGAAAAGGAGAAATGCCTGGTTTGCCGGCGACCTTATCCTGATGCTTTAACCGTGTATGGAAGCATTTTAAACACATTAATGCTGCCAGTGTTGGACAAAAATAAACCTACTAGTACTGTTAAAATCGTTTCATCAGCATTTATAAATACATCTTTGCTGTACACGTCTAGCACATCCTTCAGAGACCAGTGACAACAGTAAGGCCCACGTAGAGTTAGTGTTATCCAGTACAGTTTGAGGTGTGTGAAGTGCTGCTCGGGCCCACTTCACACTCGGACAGCTCTGATGGTGGCGAGAGGTAATCGACTGGGAAATTTGAACTTTAGGACCCGGGAATCCTTTAATGCCCCACCAGTACAGTAGAAGCAGTAAAGGTGTGGACTCTGGTGCTGAACGGAACCGCTTCAGCGGCGAAGACCTTCGATCCTATGTTCGTTTTGTGCTCTTTTGGTTTTATTTGTCACAACTCTCAGCTACCGCAGGAAGACTGGCAGACCAAATGAAGCTAGCATTTATTCTGGTGCGATATCACATAAAAACCCAAGCTGTGTGACACATTTGTTAGTGAGCATCAAAGTAAAGCTTGTGTCTCTCAGATCTGTTTGAAAGGTCTCTGCTGTCCCTCACTCTGCCATTCCTCCGTGCATTATTAAAAACACGTCCATCTACTGAATATGGTGGGCTGTGGCCACATTGTTGCATCTAAATCCACGAGCGCTTTTATTTTTAAGAACTAGCTGAAAAAATCTAAGCTCTGCCTAATAAGAGGGTGCATGGCACTCTCCTGGAGCTGCTGGTGGAGAACTTTCCGAGGTACCTGTAGATCAGGACAACACACACTCTCCTCAGCAGTAATACTGTCAAGGAAATAAGGAAAAAGCAGAGCAAGGAACAGGTAAGGTAATTCAATGCAAGGACCCGAACGGAGGCAAATGAGAGCTAATTAAGCTTCTGGAGGTTCAGGTCATAAAAGCACATTCAGGACTGAGACTGTGAAACCCCTTCTTGTGTGTTCAGATCGGCATGCATGGATTATATTTATTCTCCTAAAGCAAACATCAGCCTTACATGGTGATTAACCAGACAGCAGATGGGAAACGCATCATGCACCGATGCTACATGAAGTTCATTACATTCAGAAGAAAAATGCAACCTTGATTTAGCGTTTTGGTCATATTGAGTGACCCAGCTACTCAGGTCTGATCCGTCCCGCCTCCCAGGTGTAACAGGGCTCTCGATCACAGCCTGTAAACACCCACACAGCCCCTAGAAGGCCTTGAGTCAGCAAAGAATAAATGAAATCTCTGGAGTGGGCGGAGCAGAGGTGAAATGTCCTGAAAGTGAGCAGAAAAAGCAATATTTAATCTAAATTTGTCTAATGGATAGCACCTAGCAGAGACTTGGAACATCAGGAGGAGCCCACGGAGGGTCGATCGCTAACAAACGGGTTTTTTCTGTTCTGAGGCAAAAGATCAGATGGTTCCAAACGTCTGCAGCATAATCAGAGTGTGCATTACCTTAATCTGGCTTTTACATGAGGAGGAGCAGGAAAAACAAAAGCCTAATGATGCTCAGGGGTTTCCTTGGAAGGCTGCCAATTTCATATTTCACCCTCAGACTTTTACAAAAGGAGATTGGAAGAAGAGAAGCACCGGACGTGCTCGGCCTCCCTGCAGGAACCCCACTTCTTAATGCTTGCCGTGGCTGCTGGAGTTGCTGAGTTGAGTTGTGGCACTTTATAATTACAGAATGTCAGCTTTGTTCATGCTTTCCGCTCTGACCTTTCCCCGGTGCTAAAAGTGTGCCCTTTAACCAGCTGCTGAGCAGCTCTGCTGTGCTGAGTGCATGCGAGAGCCCAGACCTGCACTACAAGCTCTTTAGGGCAGAATGTAAGTTATTAAATTGTTCTATAACAGCACTTCTCAGAGGGCAGAGGGAGTTAATAAGCTCGTAGGGAAGGGAGAGACGTTCTATTGAATTACGTCTCTTCCTTCAGTCAAAACCCTGCAGCTGCCGTACCATTCAGGAACTATTTAACACTAAAACGGCTCTTCAAAGTGCTCCTGTTGCTTTCAGTGATTAAACAACCTCCTGGTGTCCCCAAAACACAGGAAACCTGCTTTGTTTTAGTGAGTCTGTAGATTTTTTCTGGTGCAGAACCCAAAACTAGGATGGGAAGAGGAAAGGCAGGTGAGCAGAAGGATGAAGGTGTGATCTGGATCAGAGCGTTTGCTTCAGCGGCGCGGACGACGTTCATTTCATTAGCTGGAGAGTGTTCAATTGATCTGACAAACAAGTCAACAGGAGAATATGCTGCTGGGGTTTGGTTTGTCATCCAGTCGGATGGTCCAGAGAAAGGCCACACGTCGGACTCATCGGCTGCACGGCCAGCCTCCCACCGTGGATCCTCAGGAGCCTCGAGCGCTGAGCAGCAGGCTGCAAACGGGTGTAAAGGACCAGAAAGTTGCCTCTGGAAGTGTGTGTTGTTGAGTGTATCCAGTTTGTTCCTTTCTTCAAAATAGCAATAATATTGATAATAATACAACACAAAGACCAAAATAACTTAAAACATCACTGAGGGTTGCAAAGTGTCTGATGTTCCAAACTACGAGACGAGGCTCAACTAGCAGCAAGCCGTGGCCGCCTCCACTCCATCCAGGCGTGTCCACTAATGTCTAAAGTTTATGGGGGAGGAGTCAGCGCCTCCTCTGGCCCTCCCTTTCCTCCTCACTCACTTCCCCTACCCCTCCTCGTCCTGATCCGTTTGATAGAACCAAAAGTTTTGGTAGGAGGAGGTGGTGGACCTCACCACGATCCTGTCTTACATCCCAGCATGCGCCTCTCCCAGCCTGAACAGAGCTGGCAGTAGTCGTTGACGGAGGGGGCTGATGTTGGGGGGGGGGTACTGATGGAGAGCGCTGGGTGTGGGGGAGGTGTACACACAGTGGGCGGGGCTCAGATGCAGGTGGAAGGCTGAGCGGTGGGCTGCTGTTTACGGTTCCTCAGACCTCCAGACTTATCCTTGTATCCAACACACATCTGCTGGGAGACGTCCACCAGCGCGCTGGCCACCGCCAGACCTACACACACACACACACACACACACACACACAGAGAGGCGGTGAGATCAAAGTACCTCAATGCATGTAATCACCACTTCGTTGCCGCGGATGGACTCTGAGCCATGAAGGCTCGGCAGCATCTGTTCTCATCACCAGACAGAATTAACCCCACAAACACAGCTGACAGCAAACTGACCACAATTCTAACTCTTGTTTTTGCTCCCATTTTCTCAATCTGAAACATTTTCTACATACGCTAAAGAGCCAATCTTCTCAAGTACTGTTCACTAATCAGTCTGAATCTGTGTTAGTGAGCTCTTCTCCTTTGCCAGAATAATCCATGCCACCTCACCGGTGTGGCATATTGAGGTGCTGAGTAGCAGCAGTGACTTTGCACAGGTGAAGGCAGCGCATCATGCAGCCCTCCTTTTCCACCACGTTGAATGCCAGCAATGCACACATTACAAGGGTCTGTTGCTCTGTCTTCGCTGTCTGGTGTAAAATACAACCGAGCTGAAGACCTTTCAGCTCTCCCGAGGAGATGCTATCTCAGCGTTAGCCTGCTAGCTAAAGGTTGGTTTATGGTTGACGCGTCCGCGAGGTCCGCACGGCTCCACGCGGAAAAGTTGCGTCATTTTAACAACCACGCCCCTCCGCCGCGTCTCCGCACGGCAAAGAATTTCCGCAACGCGCACCTCGGAAATTTTCTAACCACGCGGACGGACGGACGCGGAAAAACATGGCGGACCGGCAAGAACTAGTATAGCAGAGGTTGGTAAATACAGACATTTGTATGATTCAGCTCTCAGAGATCACCGTGATCAACATGTTGTTAATAGTTCTTGGAGAGAAAAAGCTCGCACTGTCAGAAAAGACGAGGACGCTGTTAAAAATGCTGGAATGCCATGTTGTAAACAGTAATTTCTACTTCTACTATGGTGTAGTGTTGGATGCATGCCATAGAGCTCCATGCTGCCCCCTACAGTTTGGGAGAATATTGGCTCACCGCAGAGACAAGCCGCATGAACCATAAACGCTGCAAGTTGTGAAGCGCGTTCCATCCGCGAGCCGCATCACCGCGCGGAAAGTGAATGCGCCAAGCATAAACCAAGCTTAACACAATTGCATGTTGTGGCATTCTGGTGTCCAAGAAACAATGAATTTTGATGTAGATTAACTTGTTGAAATTAAAACCAAGCCATTGTTATTTCATTTGAAAATCTCCATCTCTTCCTAATCTGAGCCTTTGAAAATCACGTGATTGGGTCAGAACGTTCCTACATGAAATAAAGGGACCTTTGTACCACATTCTAATTTTTTTGTTTCACCAGTATCACACTACTCATGGCAGGTAAAACTAGAGAACAACTGCTATTGCTTGTTCTATACCAACACCAATGCCCGTATGTAGATGTCATGGTCGGCCTTCGGCCGACATCTAGATGTTTTCTGCTTTATTTGCATGATAAAATGTCACTACTTACAAAAGATGCACAGCACTTCAGCGTCATCATCTGCTAGGAGGGCGACAGACACGATCGTTGGATGGAGGCCATCGAAATGAGAAAACGGGACCCAGGGACCATGAAGATGAGAAAACCTACACCTTGACCCACACATGGTAGGTGTGTGTGACCATCCTCTGCATAAAGCAGCGGACAGGCATTTCACATCTACACTGAGTGATACTTCTGAGGAAGACAGCATGTAAAGGTAGATAAAAAACCTTGATCTGTTGTTAAAGATGAGAACATATGGGTGTAGGAGCTGATGGGACCACAGCTGATGACAGAAGGCTTCGATACGTCAGGACTGTGGGAGGAAACCAGTGAACTGGGTTTTAACAGGATTCAGGCCCAAAAGCACAAGGATGGTGCCCCACTAATAAAACGGTCCTGACAAACAGCGGCCAGGGAAGAGAGCCGTTAAGAGTCCTGGCCATTTTGTTATGACAAAAAGACTTTACAGTAATTAACAGAGGCCCTGGCGTGCTGGTGGTCTGGGGACTACAACTGTAGGAGGCTTAACGCAGAGGGAGAACAGACCCCACGGCGTTTATTATGTTCCTGTTGAAGTCCCCAGAAACAGAAAAAAGAGAAGGTTGTTCTAAATTCCTTCAGGAAGCTTAAAGAAGAAGAAAAAGAAATGGATCAAAAACTAAACGGTAAATCACAAAGAAGCGCTCAGTCAAAATACCTTCAATCATACTTTAAGCACAGATACAAAAGGAGGAAAGTGTGAAACGAATCAGAAAATCATTGTTTACGAGAAGAGATGAACATAAAGACCAACTGATGACAAACAAGCTGAAGAAACGCAGATAAATGTCTGTTTTAGGACAAATAAACTTCCTTTTCCCCATTTTGCTTTGTTTTGTTTATCTTAGTAAATCCATCACCTAATGGACGGTTATTTTAGCTGTGATGAGTCATCACTGGATAAATCAGGCAATTTAACCACAAGTCCTGAAACTTCTGGTCATGTTTATGTCCTCCATCTATTTTTGAAGATTTCACAAACTAAAAACAAACTTTTTCTAGAACAGCAATGAAAAATCGTTGTTAGTAGAAGATCCCGTGATTTTCAAAGGACTGGACTCTGGAGGAAAAGATCAGCTACAACCTTATAAAAGTATACGTAAACATGACTTCTTAAATTCATCCTGAGATTTCCAAACATAATGGCTTTGTTTCATTTGAATAAATTCCTCTACATCAGTACTCATTGTTTCACAGATGACAACACCATAACGACCAATAATTTAAAGCAGCGGGGGAACTCAGACACCATAACATGCATCTGCTAGCTTGGAGGCTAATACAGAGCTAACATATTGCCTCCGAAAAGAGAAAATATCTGCAGTTTGGACATATTTTAGACAACAAAGGCAGTGCAACAGACAAACATGGTGGAAAAGGTAGAGCTGCGTTCAACATTGCACACGCTGCCTTACAAACAAATTCAGCTCAGTTCTCTGCAGCCACTCAGACAAAAACACGGCGCCAGTTGACACTGAAAGATACTTTAAAGGAAACAAAAGCAAACAGAAACTGTCTACGGACAGCAAAAACTCAAAGATAGCATTAGGGTTGGGCGATTTGTATAATTTTTCTCAATGCCAATCGTCAGTCCAAAAAGACGATGGGCGATCCATTTGTGCATGTGACGTCATGACGCACGGACTAATTTGCGAACACAGAAGAAATGTAGATTTATCTTTTTGTTTCATTTTGTATTTGTAGACTGGTAGAGTGACTAACGAATGGCCCGTATTAAACACAGTTAACGTGTTAAAAATAAGCCTCGTCTGTTTTTCCCTGTGAGTAGGAAATGCTGCATTTGAGGAGGCAGCATTTGCTCACTGCCAGAGGCTGAGGGATCCATTTATCCCTCTCACTTTCAATTTGAAATAATAAATAATTATTTGTTATGTTTCCATTGACCATTTTTGAATTAATATTTAGTCCTAACAAGCTGGTCAGAGTGTCCCAGCAACATAAAAAATGCAATGAAACGACGTAACTTAAGTTAGGAACATTTCACCTGCTGCGGCTCGAATGCTCCGCGTAACGCCGGGGACACACCGGCCGCGGAAGCGCCGCGAAAATGGGGCCGCCTTCATTCGGCGCCCTTGTTAAGCTATTCTATAGACCACATGGGCCACCGAAGCGCCGCGAATCGCCTCGCGCCGGCGCCCCAGCCCGCGCCGTGCAGCGATCATTTCGGCGTCGGCTCTATTTTTTTCGCGAGCCGCGGGTGAATCGCGTCAATTCTGGCAGGAAGTCAAACCTAGACATAAGAGGCAGGCCAGTAAAGTTAACAAAATAAAGCATTTCAAAATAAAATTCCGCAATAGTCAAATGTGTTCGTAATCAGACACTGCAGAAAAACCACACGAACACACACACATCAAACTTGTGTGCGTGTGTGACCACGTGAAGGGGGTGTGGTTTTGGGTGTCTTTTCACCGGAGCAAACAGGACAGAGAGGCAGAAAGTCTGAGGCAAGCAGTTAAGATGGATGACTTTAAATTAATTATGGAAGTTGAGAAACACAAGGAGCTGTACGACCCCCGAAAAACACGTTTATTTACGTACCCATGTCGGAAGAAACTGCTAGGATACAGCTGCAGAATTGGAGCGGGTTCCAAGAGATTCAACTGGCAGAAACAACTCATACCATAGGTTCACACACACACACACACACACACACACACACACACACACACACACACGCGCGCGCGCGCGTGCGTAAAAACACTCAAACGTAGAGGAAAAGAGCTGAGAAAAGGCAGAGAGGAAATGGAGGACACCAAGTGTTTAAAAGAAAAACTACAGCTGAGCCGAGGCGCGCCTCGACTGGGGCGCGTCTGATCTGAACTGAGGAGCGGCGAGCAGCGGTCGAATTTCGTGAGCAATTCGCTTCTCGGCGCTTCGCGGCGCTTCCGCGGCCGGTGTGTCCCCGGCTTAAACCTGAACTGGTCACCTGCAGCTTCTGCGTAATCAAATGTCTCTAGAGAGCTTGCTGGTTCTGGATTCTTGCCTCAGACAGACCTGTGCCGTTGTTCTGGATGAATCGCTCCTGTTCAGAACAATGACAAGCGCTACTTTAGTCAAAGTTTTAAAATCAGGAAACATTTCTCCAAATGAAATAACCAGAAGTCTTCCAGACTCTGAAAGATAGAAGGGTTTCCACTTTCAACACCGCGCTGCTGCGCACAATGTCGAGTGCGTCGCAGACGCTCTCCGAGCTCCTCCTCAAAGGACTCATTGTCTGTAGGGAGAGGCGGAGAAGGTTGTGCGCTGTTGGAGATCTTTTCTTGATTGTTACCTCTGTGATGTTCTTTGTGCGTAACATGTAAAATATTTGTCAATTACAAACTAAATCACGGGCAAACAAATAAACCAATCGCTTCCTGTAAAAAAACCATAACATCTCAGCCCATCGCCGACGGCCGATTCATTCATCCCACCGCCCAACCCTAGACAGCAGTATATTTATCACACTGGATGGCTGTCTGTAGTTGAAGGTGTTGGGTTAGCCGTCTCCTGGAGCTGCGGCATGAGCTGCTCTCTCATCTCAGCTTCACAGATGCAGCTGTGCAGGTGTTTTGTAGAAAGGAGTGACCCTGCTGCCGGCCATCCTTGCCGTGGGAACTTGCATGGCTTGAACCAGCCACACACTGAGTAAACCATTTGAAATATGAGCAACAATGCTATTTTTAATATGTTCTTAGTATGAACACGTTTTTAATCAATGCATTTCCTGAACGAGTGATGATAAAACAAATGACAAATACAGAAAGAAAGAATTACACAAATGATAAAAATAATTAAAGGACAAGTCGGGTGTGCTCTACTTTTTTCTTGATTCAATGCATTTCTAAAGTATCGGCTCGGAACGCTGTATGACCGGATCCTCAAAATCAAATGACTCGGATCAGGAGCAAAAACATCCCTAGTTAGTTGCTCAGGAACCAGAGAAGAAAAGTTGGAGGCTGAAAGGCCTCAGGTGTCATGGTCCAGCCAGAACACAGAACAGAGCACAGAGAAAGGAAGTCAGATCAAAGAAAGATGAAAATTCAGACGAAAAAGAAAGAAGCTAAGATTTCAGCAGCTGCATCTTACCAGACTGTCCTGGAGGAGGAATGCCGCCGGAGCCTCTGGGTAACCGGACAAAGATGGAGAGCACAGCGGCTTTGTTGCCAAAGCAAGGCTCAAGGGCAATGGGTTTTGGGACGGACTGTAGAGAGAGGGAGAAAAGAGGAGAAGGAAAAAGTATTACACATCACAAGCCGACAAAATCCCAGTGATCAAAGAGGTTTTGCTGGTACAGTTCTTGTTTGTGTCAGCAAAAAAACCCAACATCTTCTATTCTCTACAGAGATACACGCTCTGATCTGCAATCACAAATTGGACCCGACCCCCACATCAAATCCCCCACTGTGCATAATTTCACGACAATTCAAGCAGCGTACAGCGGGAGCTGCAACTGGATATCAAGAGGAGGCACTGCGGTGCGGTCCTGTCGCCACTACGGTTGTCACGGTGTGAAAATGTAACCTCACGGTTATTGTGACCAAAATATTTTTTTAAACGTGTTACATTTTCACACAATTAAATAAACCCTGTATGTCAGGAAATATTGTCCTCGGTTTGTGTCCTTCCAGTGAGCTTTGCAGATGTGGGAAAATGTCATCAGGCAGTAATCATTGTTAAATTCATAATTATTCTCGGAGAGAGACCAACTCTTATCTGCCCCTGGGAGCCCCGTAATGCATAGCGTCATTTCAACATGGGGGTGTCCGCGACACGGTTTATATGCAGGTAGCGGCGCTGCGGCTGCTTTATATAGCGACTCGTTGCATTCTCCCTCAACCCAAATCCTCGGATCACGCATTTTAGCTAAAGCGCTAACGTTAGCTTGCCTTGCGTTGACTGTAGAGTTGTGGGTGATGGTCACGCAGATGTGTCATGAGATTTGAAGCGTTGCTGCCTTTCACAGACACTTTTTCTGCTCGTGCTGCAAACAGGATAGCCGTCTTCTATCAGCTGTCCCTCGGCATTCTTCAAATATCAAAAAGATGCCCGTACTTCCCACTTTGTCTTCTTTGAGGGATAATAAATGTCCTCCTGAGCGCTGCCGTCTCCTCCTTTGGCCATTATTTCAGCTTTAGCTTCAAGAAAGTTTTGGTTGTAAACAACAAAGTGCGCATGTGCCGCCGGCAACTTCAGCAGAGGATACGGTGGCTGGTAAGGGCCACCGCGCCTACACCGCAGCCACGGTAATCCACCGAGATAATATAGTTTTTTAAAAACAAGACGGTTATTATTATTGTCAACTTTTTTACCGGGGTTTACCGCTACACCGGTTACCGTGACAACCCTAGTCGTCACAGGCCTACCTGTCTCCCTAATACCAATATCTCATCCATTTGTGGAGATGAGTTCCTGTCCTGTAAACACGGGCTGGAGCGGCCGTCGAGTCGACCGCCTCCTACAATACAGGTGCTGGCCAGTAAATTAGAATATCATCAAAAGGTTGAAAATATTTCAGTAATTCCATTCAAAACGTGAAACTTGTACATTATATTCATGCAATGCACACAGACCAATGTATTTCCGATGTTTATTACGTTTAATTTTGATATTTATAGGTGACAACCAATGAAAACATCAAATCTGGTATCTCAGAAAATTAGAATATTCTAAAGGCCAATGAAAAAATGTTTGTTTCTCTAATGTTGGCCAACTGAAAAGAATGAACATGAAAAGAATGTGCATGTATAGCACTCAATACTTAGTCGGGGCTCCTTTTGCCTCAATAACTGCAGTAATGCGGCGTGGCATGGACTCGATCAGTCTGTGGCACTGCTCAGGTGTTATGAGAGCCCAGGTTGCTCTGATAGTCGTCTTCAGCTCCTCTGCATTGTTGGGTCTAGCGTATTGCATCCTCCGCTTCACAATACCCCATAGATTTTCTATGGGGTTAAGGTCAGGCGAGTTTGCTGGCCAATCAAGGACAGGGATACCATGGTCCTTGAACCAGGTGCTGGTGGTTTTGGCACTGTGTGCAGGTGCCAAGTCCTGTTGAAAGGTGAAGTCTGCATCCCCATAAAGTTGGTCAGCAGCAGGAAGCATGAAGTGCTCTAAAACTTCCTGGTAGACGGCTGCATTGACCCTGGACCTCAGGAAACAGAGTGGGCCAACACCGGCAGATGACATGGCACCCCACACCATCACTGACGGTGGAAACTTTACACTGGACCTCATGCAACGTGGATTCTGTGCTTCTCCGCTCTTCCTCCAGACTCTGGGTCCTTGATTTCCAAAGGAAATGCAGAACTTGCTTTCATCAGAAAACATAACTTTGGACCACTCAGCATCAGTCCAGTCCTTTTTGTCCTTGGCCCAGGCGAGACGCTTCTTGCGCTGTTTCTTGTTCAAGAGTGGCTTGACACACGGAATGCGACACCTGAATCCCATGTCTTTCATGAGTCTCCTCGTGGTGGTTCTTGAAGCGCTGACTCCAGCTGCAGTCCACTCTTTGTGGATCTCCCCCACATTTTTGAATGGGTTTGTCGTCACAATTCTCTGCAGGGTGCGGTTATCCCTAGAGCTTGTACACTTTTTTCTACCACATTTTTTCCGTCCCTTCGCCTGTCTGTTAATGTGCTTGGACACAGAGCTCTGCGAACAGCCAGCTTCTTTAGCAATCACCTTTTGTGTCTTGCCCTCCTTGTGCAAGGTGTCAATGATTGTCTTTTGGACAGCTGTTAAGTCAGAAGTCTTCCCCATGATTGTGGTGCCTTCAAAACAAGACTGAGGGACCTTTTAAAGGCCTTTGCAGGTGTTTTGAGTAAATCAGCTGATTAGAGTGGCAGCAGGTGTCTTCTATATTCAGCCTTTTCAGAATATTCTAATTTTTTGAGATACCAAATTTGGAGTTTTCATTAGTTGTCACTTATGAATATCAAATTTAAATGTAATGAACATTGGAAATACATTGGTCTGTGTGCATTGCATGAATATAATGTACAAGTTTCACGTTTTGAATGGAATTACTGAAATATTTTCAACCTTTTGATGATATTCTAATTTACTGGCCAGCACCTGTATTCATGTGTCCACCCTCCACTGGGGATGTGGATTTAGCCACTGTCGAGCCTGCATACAGGTAACTTCATGTGCCACTTTGGCTTTGTATTTTGAATTCCAAAGCTGGACCAGAAACTGGGCCGTGACATGGCTTCACACACTCCCGACACCACCTCTCATTCACACACAGGTATTCATCCCCTGAAGAGTTGAGTTTAATGCCCCAGGTGGGGAAGGCTTCTCAAACACACACACGTGGGTAGTAAAGATATTCAGGCGCTGAGTTCCTTGCTCCGTCTCTCATACCAGGACGTACAAGCCTTCATGCGTGCAGCCAGCGACGAGGCATAAAAACTTGTGTCCCTAGCTGAGTGCACTTGCTCTGCATTTGTCTAAGACTTGATTTCAGATCAGCTTTGACAGGAAGCAGCATTTTGTTGCATTATGTGTTAGCTGTGTGGTTTCATACTATCTGTGCACTACAGTATATATATATATATATATATGTATATATATACTGTATATATATATATATATATACAGTATATATATATTTATGTATATATATATACAGTATATATATGTATATATATATATATATACAGTATATATGTATATATATATACAGTATATATATGTATATATATATATATATATATATATATATATATATATATGTATATATATATATATATATATATACAGTATATATATATATATATATATATATATATATATATGTATATATATATATATATACAGTATATATGTATATATATATATACAGTATATATATATATATATATATATATATATATATATATATATATATACAGTGTATATATATATATATATACAGTATATATGTATATATATATATACATATGTATATATACATATACATATGTATATATACATATGTATATGTATATATACACACTTGAACTGAATTGAATTAATGCTGGGCCAGTAGAGGGCAAAAATGTCAACTTTAACAACATCAAAATACAAAGGAAGATCTCTCTTGGTTTAGATGAAGATTCCCTCCTCATCTCGTCTACTTTGTTTACAACCTACAACCAGCTAATGACCTGTGAACGATCAAAGTTTAGTGGCAAGACAAAAAAAAGGGTAAAACAGCTTCATTCTTCTGATTTCTAGGGCACTTTCTGTCTTTCTTCCCGTCAGTGCAAATACCACCAGTTCCCAGGAGACTGAATATTCCAGCTAAGTGCATTTCAGACTTTGCCAGGTCATTCCAAAGACACTGACTGGTTTGATAGTGTTGTCCAAGGCACCGGTGTCCCTTTCTGAAGGTTTTTACAAACCCATCACTACAACAGTCAGTCAACAGGGCAGTCTGCCATACATGGTCAAAGACGAAGAACACAAACATCCTTTTACTACATAAATGATTCAAGTACCTCGATTTGCTCATGTCCCAAAGAAAATCCCAAGTCCAAAACATCCAAAGTTGATGCCAAGGATGTTTCAAACGGCACAGTTTCTGTGCCTACACCATTTTTGTAGTTTTTCTTGGTCATTCCTCGGGTGCTAAGCCTGCCCAACGTCTCTCAAAACGAGTGCTGTGATTGGCCAGACTTAAAATTGTTTGGCAAATGGTAGACCTACTGAGGCTAGAAAGAAGCGTGGCTATAAATGATAAAGACACTGTTAGGTAAAAACTGCTGACATTAATGACATTATTACTGTTCTTCTCATTATAACTGTTTTTACATCTTGTGCTTTATTAAATGCAAGCTTTTCCCGTGCCAGTCTCCTTCCTAGAACACGCTGGTCTGTGTGCTATCGGGTTTTCTCCCCATGGGAACCAGCAGGTTGAATGAATGCACCGGTTTCTGTATTAGGGAGTTGTGGCGTTGGTTTCACTCCCTATATGAAAACACGTTGTCTCCTGAATGTCTGCGGAGCAGTTTAGGAATGTGATGAGATGTGGGTGTGTTTTGTGTGTGTCTCAATAAAAGACCTGAGCGAGCTCAGCTCTCTGAGACTGTGTGAACCAAGCTTACGGGTCTGTACGGTCATAGCTTCACCTTTCTCCCTTTGCAGAGACAACTGAACAATATTATGCTCTAATCCTCTGTGCGTTCGACTCTCTTAAGGTACGCTGGTTTGTAGGAAATA